CAACATCCTTTGTTAAAGAAACCATTTTTGAATTCGTGCAGCATACAGTGTCTGATACGGGTCTGATTTAAACACATTTTAAAAGATACAAAATTTACCCATTTTGATATTAAGTAATTATCAAAGAAAGTTTTACAGTATTTCCTCGATTATCCGTACATCGATTTTCCAGAGTTCAATTATCCGGACGTGAAATGAAGTGAAGAGTTAAAATCAGCTGTATATTTTTTTAAACTAAACACATTCTAATATTTCCTATCAGGCAAGCATTTTGAGAATTTACAGACGATATACTCAACGTTCAAAATTTCAATTTCAAACATTGAAACAATGATTATGTTTGACAAATGTTTCAGCTAATTGCTCTGTTAACAAAAAGACATTTATACATTTACTTTAATCTAGTTTTGGTAGTTAGCGACTGGAAAATGTTAGGCAAGTCAGAAATATACAAAAATTTATTAAAAAAAGAAACTAGTCAAAACCTTGAACAAAGCTTTTCAAAATATTATTTGATGATATGAATGTTAAACTTCTTTTTAAAAAAAATATGATTTCTTCATTCTTTTTTTAGATAATTTAAATATTCACCTATCCCGAATTTTGATGTATCCATTTTTCAGCTCATGTCCCAAAATGTCTGCATAATGGCGGAAATAGAGTCGAATGTAAAAATCAATCGTCTTTTACTCGTAAGTATAGAAAATAGTACCCTCAAAATGAGGATGTTAAAAATTCAACAGAACTTGCTCTTCAACATCCACTTAGAAAATTCATGCCTTACCCAAAGGGCATCATTTCAAAACTAATGCAAACTGTACCGGTGGGAGTTTGAAATCAGTTCGTCGAGTACATTTTCACAGAAGAAGAAGGGATAGAGATGTGGTTCTACAGAAGGATGTTGAACATGTAAGCAACGACGAATTTCCGGATGCAATAGCAACAAAAAGGACGATTATACTTAACATCAGGAAGAGACTGTTGAAATTTCTGAAGCACACAATGTAGAAAGAGGGCTTGGGAAATTTGGTAATCACAGAGTTGATTGAAGGTAAGAGAGACATAGGAAAGCAACACATTATCTACCTGGCGATCAAGAGTGAATGGACAGCAGAGCAGGGCATGGGAAAAGAACAACAGAGCTATAAAGGACAGGAAATTGTTGCATGCCATAAACGTCAACGTCCTGAAGAGACACAACACATAGAAAAACAACAAGAAGAAGACGTTAACTGTTATGTCACCAACATTTCCTTCATTGTCGTTTTGAATATACATTTTAGTTTCACTTTCGCGTGAGACGCCGATGTTAAACAAAACTTGTGTCACAATTAAACTAAAGGTTGCTTTTTGATAAATATCTATTATTGATATACATTTAGAAAATAGGGATAAAATAAAAAAAATAATGTTATAGTATTAAAAGAGTATTTTAGATTGAAAATTGACACGAAGATATCTTAAGTTTATAACTTTGTTTCAAATTTAATAATCCAGGATGTAAATTTACTGTAGCGGATACTGAAATTAGAGCAATTTGGAATTAACAAATTATGGTAAATTTATGTCCAGGATCCTAAAACATATTTTTCAACCTTGTAATATTACTGCTGAAACAATGTGCTATAATTGAAAATAATATCGATAAAAACAAAAATAAAAGCAATAAAAACATGAATTTAATAGGCTAAATTAAACATCTAAATATTTTGGACGTCAAAAATTAAAGCCTGAATATCTTCATAGCTTTAACATTTCCATACAAACGGTAACCGGGGTTTGTATCATTTTTCACTACTCATTTGTTGCTTATATATATATATATATATATATATATATATATATATATATATATATATATGTGTGTGTGTGTGTGTGTGTGTGTGTGTGTGTGTGTGTGTGTTTGTTGCGAACACTCAATTAAATTTATTATAGAATCGATGTTTATATTTTAGAAGCTTATATTTTAGAAGTATTCTAAATGAAGTGCTTATACTCTAAGAAAGTGTGAAAAAAATGAAGTGACTGGTAACAGTTCTCGTTCAAACTTGCATGCCACCGAACAAAGACTGTACAATTCATCTTTCTTGATCACGCGGCATGATGATGTGACCTGATATTTTCCAGACTGTTAAACGACCTTGAAATAATCTCTTAACTACGACAGAAGGAGGAAAAGGATCAATGAAATCTTTTCGACCACACATATTTGGAAATCATGGGTCACGTGCCGAAATCAAGGCGCGAAAAGAAAATGGACCGTCAGACAGTCCCATTTCATTATCCATAAAGAACCGAAAGTCAGCTATAAATGCTATCATTAGGACACGGGGAAAATATAGAAATCTAATAAGATTTCTAAGTCGGAAACGGTTCAGTAAAGATTTAATTCAAGGAATCAAACTTCGTCGGACTAGAGAAGCGAATACATCAAAACAGAAGAAAGATACATATTTTGTCAGTCAACCCCTAGACAAGACGAGAAGAGAAAGAGAAAGAGAAAAAAGAAACCAAAAGAATTTCAGTTTCACAAACCAACCTTCTGTCTACAAGGAGAAAAGAACAGATAAAAGAGAAAAAGACATATAAAAGAAATATAAAAAAAGTAAGAGAAGAAACACATATAAGAGACATTGAAAGAAAAGATAAAAAGATAAAAAGAAAAAAAGAACATTTATAACTACCAGATAATTCCATTGTTTCTTTTACATATTTCCCTGTTGCTCATTTTATCTTTTCACGTTTTGTGATTATGTTCATGTTTGGCACAAGATCGTTTGTTACTTACTGTTTAGCTTTTTGAGAGGATAAGTTTTTTCCCCACCACTATTCTGTCCCATAACATTTATTTTTGTCTTATTGTTTTCGGTTTGCCCCGTTTTTTTACCTTCTTCCCATTTGTATATTTTAAATAATAAACTATTTGCTTGTTATTTCTATATTTGGCCTTTTGTCGTTTGTCATTCAACGTATTTGTTCCTCAATTAATTCCTTCGAGCTGGGCCGTGTCTGATCAATTGGGAAAGAGACCATTGAGAAAAGAAATTTGTACTTTTATATTTATAAGTTACTGTATCTCCTACTGCTGCTATAACGGTAGAAAAAGGTAGAACGTAGCAATATATATATATATATATATATATATATATATATATATATGAGAGAGAGAGAGAGAGAGAGAGAGAGAGAGAGATTTACAAAGCCTGAATGTTAAAAAAAAGTAAAAACACACTGCACAAAAGCCATGTACAGTTATAACTGAAAAAAAATTAAAGACCCACATGTCAAAACCATTTAACAAAGTATGCTGTCATTTTTATGCCATTGGCAAAATATTGTTTGATTGATCCGTTTTTTACGGCTTATCGACCCTTTGCAGGTTATTTAAAACCAGAAAATATTTTTAGATTGTAAGATTTATTTATTTTTTGGGTGGGGGGGGATAATAATGATTTAGTGATAAGTCTTGCTAATTAACCCATAGTGGAGAACAAGTGGATTCATAGCTAACCAGAATTCGATTAACAAACAAAAAATTATAATGTGGATATAAAGTGGCGGATCAATTTTATTACAATCAGTATATAAACTGATCCATCAATTCAAGGTCACGGTATTTTCTATATATATTTATATTCCAGAGAATGTAAATAAATCTAAAAGACATGCCTGTGTAGCTAATCAGTATTTGATTGATTGATTGATTCATTTTCTACAGTTTATCAACACTTTACAGGTTATATTCCGGTGCATGTAAATAAATCTAAAAGACATGTCTATGTAGCTAATCAGTATTTCATTGACTGATTCATTCATTTTCTACTGCTTATCAAACATTTGTAGGTTATTTAAGGCCAAGATATATTTTTAGATTGTAAGATTTTTTTTTAAAAATAATGATTTTGTGATACTTACTAATTAACACATAGCTGGGGAGATAAAAGGTGGATTTATACCTTCCCAAGTGTATTTGGGCGTAAGTGAATATAACGAACCTAACCGGAATTAGAATTCGGTTCTCCGATTAACAGTTACGAGTCATTATCCATTACACCACCCGCACATCCTAGCTTACAGCACCTGCTATTCCATTGGTAAAATAGTATCAATATAAAATTCTAATGGAGATAAAGTCGGGGATCGTTTTTCTGCTTGTAATAAACAGATCCCCAAAGAATTACCTCTTATTTATATAATTGGAAAAATAAATTTTAAAGACTAATATATAAAAACCTAGTAATATTAAGAACACAACAAAAGTTTTTATTTACTTTGTGTAGGTGAAAGCCTATGCGGGGATGTTTTAAAAAATATTAAGTCCAAGCCCCAGGGGACCTTCCCCCAAGCTGTACCGCTCCTTGGAGAGGAGGCTGGAATCACTGCACGACACATGAGGCGTCCTCAAAAGGGGAAGTGTCGAGAGGGCTTAGGCAATTTTTCCACGGTATTGCCGCTAAACCCACTTTAAGCCTCGACTTTGTGTCACACCCGGTAGCGACGATAAAATACCTACTAAGCATAAAGCTGGAGTTCTATTTTCTCAATGTTTTTAAACAATAAACTCATCCCAACGCCATATTTATGATATATTAATATAATAATTGGTAAAATGTGTTTTTAAAATCTCCTTTATGAAACCCTTTTAGAATAGTAAGGATTTCACAAAATATATATTTCCTTTTAATCCGTTATTGTTTTTAAATCATTGAGAAGCTAGTACCTGTGTGACATTACACCACCTTGTCTACCAGGGGACTTCTCCTAATGCCCACTTGGTGGCTATTTATAAAGCATTATAAAAGGAAAGAACATAAACCATATCTCTCTCTTCTTTTCCTCTTCAACTACAGGAAGTCGTAGCGACAAGAGTCTCGTTTTCAGTCAGGAGAATTATCTTCCTATTCCCAAAAGGACCAGGTGCTGCGTCGCATACAACACATTATCGCATTTTCTAAAACCCACACGCGACTTCAAATAATATCTCAATTGCAATCTGTCACATGAAGATATCTCTCTCTCTCTCTCTCCCTCTCTCTCTCTCTCTCCCTCTCTCTCTCTCTCTCTCCTTCTCTCCACGACAAGAAAATATTCCTGTTCAAGAAACGAGTCAATGCTGCTACAAACTGATGACTCCTGTAACAAACTGGTAACCTAATACCATTACAATGTTCCTTCCTTTGATTGTGTTATTATTTTGAGAGACTTATTTTTCAGATAAACCATTTCCATTCTTAGGTTTTGTGAATGAAATAAATAAGCGTTGAATTCATTTCTTCTGAGTTTGTTGAAATTCCCAACCGAATATAAGCTATATATTTAGAGATCCCTGATAAAATACAAAGAAAAATCTGCAATGTTATTGGTCCTGACTTGGCATTTCAGCTTCAGTCACTTTCTCACCGCCATAAGGTAGTTTCCCTGTGCCTTTTCTATAAAAACGTTCATGTTAATCGTTCTGATGAACTTTCCTCTATGGTACTTAGACTTTATGAATTTAAGCGCAGTACTAGATTGGCGGTAAGGTCTCATCATTTCACAGTTGTAATGGCTAAATCTAACCGTAAGTTCTGTGTTAACAGTTTATTCTATCAGACTTCTCACTTGTGGAACTCTCTTCCGGCTTTATCAGTCAACTTTGGTGTTCAGAGATTTAAATGCAATGCCAATCGTTATCTTCTGTCTTCTTAATTCTTATTCTTTTATTTTCCTCTCTTCTTAATAGTAGTTTTTCCCATATTCTCTAACACCCAGTAAAACCTTACGACTTAGTGGCTTTATTGCCTTGCTTGGAGTGAAATGCTTAAAGAAAAAAACAAAAGAATATCGTTACAATTGATACATTCCGACGAAAGAATTTTCCGTTCGCTATACACGCCTAGACCTCTTCATGTTGGGCTCTCAGATTTGGAATACATTTTTATAGACTCAGTGGGAGGTTTTTAACCTAAAATTATTTTGTTCCTCAAAGGGAAAATAGGGAGGCGAAGTCCTGACTCTTTTCTACTTTGTGGATCTATATTTATAGCAGCAATTACCGTTTGAAATCGTTCAATGTAAAACTATAATTTCTCTTTTATTATTAATGTCTAAAAAAGAACAAAAATGTGTGCTTGGAAAAAGCAATTTTATTGAAATTTAATTAAAAAGTACAGTTTTTTAAGGAGCAATATTAACTTTATATGATAATATAAAAATATAATTGGTAAACCTCTTCTGTTATGTAGATTTATTGTTTACAGTAACAGTTAATATTTGTACCCGTTCTGTGTAAGACTATAATAATATCTCTTTTATTATTAATATCTGAACAAGAAATGTATTTCTGTGCTTTGAAAAACTCAATTTCGCAGAACAATTTTCCCCCAAAAATATATTTTCTATATTTAAAAATATTTCATAGGAAGCGTACCCGGAAAAAATGAAATATATTTTGTTTTCCTTTTATGCTTATAAACAGCGTTGTTATCCATGGCCAAAGATAATGAAAATAAGCCTTAATCATGCGAATGACGATAACAATTTAAATTGACAGATTTAATTTATTAACAGATAACACATTTATTATGTATCTAGTGATGCTTTATTTCTTTTCTTTTTTAAATAGTGAGCGCATTATTTGCAAAAATCCGCTTGCTTTATACTCAATTTACTGGTCAACGTGTTTTGTTAGGGGTAAACTATCATTGTTGCTATATATATATATATATATATATATATATATATATATATATATATATATGTATGTGTGTGTGTGTGTGTGTGTGTGTGTGTGTGTGGTAATTGTCACTTCTTTTGCAGAAGTGCATCTCTTCACTTAGCTTTTTTTGTGTTTTTGAAGGTTTTAAAAGGATTAAAGTCCAAAAGTTAATTTGATTATTAAATTATACTATTTAATAATCAAATTAACTTTTGAACTTTCCTCTTCATAATAACAAAGATTTTGATTTGACGATAAAACTTCTTTCTTTTTCTTTTTTTTAAAGTTTTGGACATTTTTTTCATCATGTATGCTTATTTTTTGAAGAATCTTTGGTGGTACATCTATCTATCTATCTATCTATCTATCTATCTATCTATCTATCTATCTATCTATCTATCTATCTATCTCTCGCTATGTATATATGTGTGTGCGTATATATATGCGTGTGTATGTGTACGTTTTGGACATTTTTTCATCATGTATGCTTATTTTTTGTGAATCTTTATATATGTGTGTCTGTGTCTATATCTATCTCTATATATATGTGTGTGTGTATATATATGTGTATATATGTGTGTGTGTGTGTGTGTGTATATATATATATGTGTGTGTGTGTGCGTGTGTGTGTATATATTTTAAAGCGTCATTTCTTACATTGAAAAGTATAACGCTCTAATAAAGCTCTTTTTTAATTTAAATTATTCATAAATATCTAATTAACTTTTTGTATGGCGCAAAAGTTAATTTTAGTCATTAAAATAAACCATCTAAAAATTCTATTTGTTTTTATTAACAGCTCAACCATTTTCTAAAAAAGCATTCAGATGTTATCTTGTGACAAAGTAACAATAATTCTGTCATTGTATTCTGTCATGTGTCAGCAAGTGATTATTTAACGTTAAAATTGTACATTTTCGCGCCTTTTTTAACAACAACAACAATCGACTTTAATGCCGTTGATTTAAATCTGAAGAACATTAATCCTGACGCATGTATCAGTGGAATTTTTAAACTTTAGTGGTTTTCTCGTTTTATTTTTAAACACTTTGCATCCGTAATGTCCTTGAGAAAGAGTTAATTTGTATTTTCTTCTCACGTAGCAACATCATTACTTTAAATTCGGTTCGTGAGAACTTTGAATCTGACAACAAAATTGACTCAACGCTTCAGAATAGGGAAATGGTTGGTTAGTGAATTTGGTGGAAGATTACTACTGAATAGTGAGTTTGATCCTCACTGGGTGTCCCATACTTGTAGCTTTGTGCCAAAACGAATCTAAGCTTAGTAAATAACTATTAGAGTCACTCGGTATGGAATAATAGTTGGTGGGCTAGTCTGGTAAGCCATTACTACTGTGTATGATCCTCACTGTGTGACCCATACCTGTAGCCTTGTGTCAAAATTAAGCTAAGCTTATTAAATAACTATTAGACCATTCAGTATCTGTCTATATTTATGAGATGAGGTATTATGTACACTATTTACATTATTCGGACTATTGTCCTCGAGGACACATGGCACAGTGGATAAAAGCGTTGGTTAGATCGAGTGACAGGACCCAAAGAGTGTGAGTTCAATACCCGGTTAAGGCAGTGGAGAACTTGGAGAGGGGAATTAACAGGAGATCCATTAAACATCCATTAAACATGGCACGTGGAACTAGAGCGAAATAAAGGGTTCAGTTCGACAGTCCAACCTTGTAATAAATATGGCGACAAAGATGAGGACAATAGTCCGAATAATGTAAATAGTGTAGACCATTCGATATGGAATAACCGTTGGTTGGTTACTCTGGTTGACCATTATTACTGTGTATTATCCTCATATTTGTAACATTGTTTCAAAACTAATGTATGCTATTTTTTTAAAAAAAGAAAAAAGTATGACCACATTGCTGTAGTGGTAATATCGTATAACTTAATCGTTTTAATCGAGGTGCATGTCACCGAGTGAATGGTTTAGTAATTTAATCTCGCAAGCCATTGCTAATGTGAAGAATTCACTGTTGTGATTATGTGCTAGATTTAACTAAACTCCGTAAATCTGTATCTTTTTATCACGGTTACGACGTCCACTTACGTAATAATGGGAGACGATGATGTCCTAATCACATCGAATATCCATCTCTACTATTGCTGCTATGATAGCTTTTTCTTTTTTTTAATATGTACATTACAATGTTCAATATATCCACTTGTATGATTATCGTACATTATTCTGAAATGTTTTCAAGCTAATTTGTACACGTGCCAATTTGTATGTTGGAAGAGAAAAGTGTATGCGTATTTTTGCGATTGTACATCTGTATTTTATTTGTACATAAATTCTTTCAATTTATGTTGTAATTTTTTCTTTTCCTTTCAAACGTTTGAAATCTCTGTGTGTTCTCGTTTAAGAATTCCATAAACGTTGACGTTTTTGTATTCGTACTTGCGTGCTCTTCAGTAAGTTACTGTTTGTCACAAAGTTCACTTGCTAAGAAAAAGGAGGGGCCTATTAAAATAAGAATGTCACCACGTAGAATAGACGAATGGAAATTAGATGTAAGAGTATTAATAAAGAAATAGAGAGGTGCTTAAAAGAAAATGAAGATACTAACAGCAAAAGAAATGTCAGTGAGTAACTATTGGTGAAAACAGAAACAGAGGGAGGGAAAAGAGAGCTAAAGGGAAAGAGAGAGAGAGAAGTTATTCGTCATCATTATGTTATTGCATGAACGTAAACGAGATCTTTGCAACTCTCTAAAGCACCCACGCACTTATTTCTACTGCTGGATTCAGAAGTAGACGGAAGAAAAAAAAAGGCAGGAATCGGTATTAAAGACATAATTGTAACAGAAGCAATAGTTGTTGGAACTTATTATGTGTGTTTGTTTGTTTAACGGCATATCAACTCCTTATGGGTCATCTAATGCCGAAAATGGGAGCTTTGGTAATTTTTTCTCAAAAACGTATTGTTGGTAATTTTTTTACTATAAAAATGTATTGCTGGTATAAAAATGTATTTTTATATTTTCGTAATGTTTTCACACCAGTTTATGGGTTCACTATTTGCCTATAGCAACCACCCAAGTCAAAGTGGACCTGGAAACAAAGGCAATTAAGACGTGGTTATACGCTATTAAAAAAAAAAAAAGCAACTCTCAATCAGAGGCCTTGCTGCCGAATGTCATTTATTATCATATCAAGCACGAGGAACTTACTGAGCCTAGCTTGGTTTGGCATAAGATCATAAGTACGGGACAGCCCGGTGAGAATCAAACTCACTACAAAGAAGTAATGTTCATCTAGATTAATTAGCTAACCATCACTCTAAGCCGAGTCGCTTATAATGTGCTGCAGTTAAAGAGTTTAGCTAATATATATATATATATATATATATATATATATATATAGAGAGAGAGAGAGAGAGAGAGAGAGAGAGAGAGAGAGAAAGAAAATCACCTGTCATTTACTAAGCTTAACTTATAAGCCATGAGGTACCTAGTGAGGATCGATCTCACTACTCCGTAGTAATAGTCATTCAGGCTAGCTCGTTAAACATTACTCCACATCGATGCCCCCTTCGACTAAAGAAAAAAAAAGAAAAGCACTTGTCAACTTTTACTCTATTGTTCCTCCAATACAAGGCCTAAAAGCCACTCAAGGTAGAGAGCTACTGAATGAGATTGTTATCAGGGAGTAAAGAGTGCAACTAAGAAGTGCATATTATGAGGATATATAAGATAGATAACGGTTGGCCCTAGATTGAAGGTTAAGAGTGTAGTGATCAGGGAAGCATCCTCTTGGGAGTCAGTTCCACAAAGTAACAGTTTTAGGGGAAGAAGTAATCTGAGCAGAATCTACGCCTTAGCAGAAAAATACGAAGAGAATGAGAATGATTCGACACTGTGTACATGGCGGGTCCTAGCTGTGAAGGTCTGAACTGGTGGAATTGGAGACTGTGGCTTGTCAGAATGTCTACGATAAAAAAAGCAATAAAGTAGCGAGAGCTCCGTGATATTTCGTCTGATTGTAGAGTGCGAAATAATTCATCGCCCACAAGAGTGACTTCCTAAGCTTAGCTTATTTTGGCCCAAGGGCGCGATTATCAGGCACCAAGTGAGAATCGAGATTTCAATTCAGAAGTAATGATCAACAAGACTAACTCATTAATCACTACTTCTTACTAAGAGAAAAAAATGAAAGAAAATCACTTGTTTTTTAAACTCACGTTCACAGAAGTGTACAGGTATGGGGCACTTGATGAGAAACGAATTAAGTACTAGGGCAGAACCAGCCAACCTTGTTAACCATTATCCTATCCAAGGCGCAGAAGAAAATCGCTGGGCTCTGGTTTCCAATGAAATCACCTTTGACCTCCAGAGGTCAATTACGAAATCTGACATCAAGTGCCAGATAGCCAATTTAAGCAATAATTTTTTTTAAATGCTTCGTTTCTGTGTTATATTTTCAATCATTTTTTTCCCATAAAAAGTTTGTTTTAGTTGCCAGCACGATTTTTCATTCCTACGTTAGGCCTCAAGTACAAGTTATTTGCGTTAAAATCAATGAAAAAACTGTGTAATTGTAGTCTTGATGGCAAAACAACAACAACAACAAAAAAAAAAAAAAAAAAAAACAAACAAACAAAAAACGAGATAACTCGTCGTCAGCGTCATGATAAAAACTGCCACTCACAAGTTAACTCGTGGTTGGAACTAAATGTGTTAATATATATTTTCACAATCTCTTTCAATATTAATCAGTGTTTATACAAAACGTTTTAATTCCCTTGTGAGATATCAGTCTTTTACTTATAAATTGTTTTATTATTTACATAATAAATATAATTAATACCTACATGATAGCTGTCGACACGTTAAACAATTGTTACCATCAATGACAAGTTTGATCAATTTTCTTGGCTCTTATGAGAACGATAATAGCTCTTGAAGTCGGAAAGTTATTTCCAAAGCTTATAGCAGACGTGTCAAACTAAGTTGCTCTGTACAGGGCCTGGCCTGTTTTGTAAATTCTGTTCAGTTTGCTCGTGTGACAGGTATGACCGAAGCGTTTTTTTTAACACGCTCCGCATGTAAAGTTATTCCCAGCATAGTACGGATTCATAATATATGAACGGTCTACCGATATGATTCTTCGCGTGGCTAACGAGGACTTTGCATTGGAGAGATATTCTCTGTCACATTCATCACATTGACGTTCGGCCAACTTATTGCACACACACACACACACACACACACACACACACACACACACATACATACATTTCATAAGTAAATGCTACTCCACTATCTAAATTGTATGTTATAAAAATTAATGATAACATTTTACAACCGCCAGTTTTCAGTCTGTGCCTGACGATTGCTACGGGCATCAAACTCTGAGTTGTAAGAACAAATGTGTATTTATTATTGATATAAATTTCAGCTCTTTTATTTCACATCGAGAATTCTTTTATTACCACCAATACTCACTGAGTGCTGTTATATATATATATATATATATATATATATATATATATATATATATATATTGTTATCCACAGACAGACTGTTTCGCTGTTTCACAGTTCATCAGTGTGGATAGACATCTGATTACTTCAAGCCGGGATCGAAACCTGACGGATTTGGCATCAGTCGATTTTTCCCCTAAACCATCGTCGCACAGTTGAAAGAAAGGTGAATTTTTACGTACTTATTCTGTGAATAAACACCCCAATGACTGACAGTGTTCAATTCAGGGAAGAGCTTTGCAATATTAGTAGTCATTGTTTAAAAATTCGCTATTATCTTCCATATACATATATTATATATATAAAATAAATTATAGACATGGACATTGAACTGAGGTCAATACCGACCGGCGACAGTTTGTTTCATGCTGGAACACATTCTTCAGGGTTGAGTGGTCAAGCATGAATCAGACTATCTCCACTCCTTATCTTAATCTTTATATATCTCACATGGATGTGCTGGTAGGGGTACAGATAGCGGCCCAGATAGAGAAAACGGCGATCTGTGTTCGAATTTCAAATGAGTTAATTGCATTCACTTTCGTACAAATAACCTTTCTCCCTTCAGTTATTGGTTAAATAGTGAGGATGGCTGGTCTCTCTTGCAACTAGTCAAGGTATAGGAAAAGCCTAAATTCAAGTTTATGGGCTTCATCAGACTATCTTGCCTTAGACACACCACTGTTTAATAATGAGTTATGGGACTTGTGTCTTGCATATTCGAAAATACGTTAAAATACTGTGTACCAAATGATCTTTCTCTTTCTTTTGACCACTATCATCATCTATCCGGTTTCTCGCTTCTGTCAGCTGAGTGTATGTTTGAATGTAAATGTATTGAATTTGACAAAATTATCGCATGTATGAAAACAGTAACTTTATTTCCAGCATTATTAGGCTCATTATTTACACTATTTACATTCAGACTATTGTTCACATCTTTTGTGTTGTTATCACAACGTTTCAGCCACTGCCCTCCCCCTCCCGGCCTTCATCAGGTGTGAAGTGAAATACTGGACAAGGAAGAACACTAGAGAGTTAGACGACTGAAAGAATCAGGGAATATGCTAGGCTATGAGGACCTCCTTAGTAGGCCTAGCATATAATTAAATACGATATGAGAGCTGCTAATAAAGAAACAAAGACAATGACAGCAAGTGTTCAACAACAGAAGCAGTAATAAAAGAAAAACTTCAGTCGATGCAGTCAAGCACGACAAACAGCAGCATCAGGAGCAGCCATCAGCAGGCAGTCATTAGATTTAAGACGACAAGTTCTCCACAGAGGATTGTCCTACGAGATAACAGACTAGTAGATTAAAATGGTGGTACGTGAATTTTATGAGACGACAGAGATGTGTTTCTACAGAAGGATGCTAAGGATATCATAAACCGAGCGTGTGAGCAACGATGAGATCTTAGAGAGGTTGCAAACAAGAAGGAAACTTATACTTAATATCCGGAAGAGGCAGCTGAAGTTTCTGGAACGCGTAATGAGGAAGGAGGGTCTGGAGAATCTGATACTCACGGGTCGAATAGAGGGAAAGAGAGACAAGGGAAAACATTGTGGGACATACCCGGCGGGCTTAAGCAAGTGGATGACAGAACGTGGTCTAAGGGAGGAAGCAGAGAGAAGGAACGCGTTGAGAGCTGCAAGGCATAGAGGGAGGTGGAGAGCCATGATCGCCTACGTTCTGAAGGGTCATGGCACATAAAAAGAAAGAATTCAACTCATATTTACTATGAGCGGAACAGCGTATACTTGGACCCAGTGGGAAGAGAACGCGCAACAACTAAACAGTACTAAAAATAAGAACGAGACTAGTTATCCCTAGACATGGACAGTGGTACGAGAACATTTTATTCCCGTAGATTAAATAAAGTGTTCAAGAATTCCCTGTAGGTTACTCTAATCAATATTCCCTTGATGAACTCCGGGGGGTGTAGAACGGTTAAAAGGTTGTGATAACAGCAAGATGGGGACAATAGTCTGATGTTGGGCGAGACAATTATTCTCTCCAGAATCTATCTTACATACTTATAAGTCTACCATTCGTCCATGCTTTGAATATGATGCCATATGTGATCCGAGTCTCCTGCTATATATTTAGAGATCCTTGATAAAATCCACAGAAGAATCAGCTATATTATTTCTACTGTCATGGTGGCTCGGCTTCAGTAACTTTCTCATTGCCTCATCTCATGTGCCTTTTCTATAAATACTTTCATGGTAATTGTTCGGATGAGCTTTTCGCCAGGACATCTAGACTTTATGAATTTAAGCGCACTACTAGATTGGCAAAATTTGTCATCAGTTCACAGTTGAGTTGGCTAGATGTAACCGTAAGTTCTATGCTAAAATTTTCTTTTCTCGCATTTCTCGCTTGTGGAACTCTCTTCCGATTCCATGCTTTCCAACCAAGTTTGATTTTCAAAAAATGTAAATGCAATGTCAATCGTTATCTATTGTCTTCTTGATTACTCTTCTATTGTTCTTGCTCTTCAATAATGTATTTCATTTTTCTTATTCTTTTACACTCAGTAACCCCTTGTGTCTTAGTGACTTTACTACCTTGCATAGGGTGAAATGATTTTAAAAAAATGACTAGACAGTTAATTTCACGCTCTCATTTGCAGTAAGTGATCGTAACATATGGAACATTCTTGAGGAGGGATTCGACGCTAAATCAAATAAAGAGTCTATCACGAATTTCTTTTCGTCACTTCAATTACACTTTCATATTATTCAAAAACGTTTCTCTATAAATAGTGATTATCCGTATTTTCAACTCAGCCAATCAAACGATAGACGTAGGTTTTGCCATTTAAATTACACATGTTACCTATCATTGTCTTATCGACGTTTGTTGTTTTAAAAGGAAGCCACGGTTAAAAGCTAACAAAAAATCTTTTTTTTCTCTCTTTCTCTCTGACAGTTTATTTACAATTTACTGTCTTTTCTTTCGGAATTCCCAAAAGTTCGACCACTCCCTTTATTCACCTTCAAACCTTTCTATTCTTTTGTATATTATGTGTTGTATACTTCGAATAATGCCCAGTATACACATCCTGGCCGCGATCTTTGGCAGCAGCCGTTGTGCATATTTATATAAGAATGCATTTTACATAGAGCAACCGATCTTGCAAGGAGTCGGGAGTCTATGATATTTGAAAATCATAAGACCAAACGTTTCTGCGCTTTACTCCCACGATTTTCAATTAACAGCAAATATATTCCACTTAATTATCTCAATTGCATTGGAGAATTGGAACATTCATTTTAATAGAAAAATAAGATGTGGTCATTTTGCCAATGCTGCTAGTACCCCATAATCCAATACTATCTGCTGCATGATCATCGTGTCATCGGCGGCTAAACCGGTACCCCTACCAAGCGTTTTAGTGACGTAGGTCTCTAGACTCTGCAGAATTAAAAACATGGACATTTTTTTTGTGTCAACAGCTATCAAGCCCAATGGTGTTAGGTTGGGATCAGTAATGTATGCAACAAGTGTGGTGGTGACACGACATCACCTCGTGGAGTGTTTCTAAGAAACTCTTTGTTTACTAGCCAAGACATAGTTCCTCTCATCGCCCGATGGAATTGACGGGCACATGATTCGTGATCAGGCCGAGCTTTCAAATTAAACGACATCAGCGGTGCTTTCAACTGAAGAAGAATCGGCTCCACCAGATCTAGTTTCTCAAGAAACCCTACGTTTGATCGAATAATTATCCGGCTTTCAACCCAGATATGTGGAGAGAACTGGTCAGGCTGTCAGCTGCGCAGCAACCTTACGACTAAATCCTGTCATGGGACTGATTATGAGAGGGAGGAAGAGGGTTTGTTTATAACGTTAAGTGTAGCTTATCACAGAGAAATGGGCATTTCGATAAGCTTAGGTTATAGGCTTTAAATTGGCTACATCTCTGAAATAAAAGCATTGTTCATGTTATCCATTTATGACGCGTTTTTATCTTATTTTTGTTGCTTGTTTATTGTTGGCTCGGCTTCAGTCACTTACCCACCGCTGTGAGATTGCCTCTTCGTCCTTTCTATAAATACTTTCATGGTAATTGTTCAGATGAGCTCTTCGCTATGGTACCTAGACTTCATGAATTTGAGCACAGTACGAGACTAGCATCGAGATCTCATCAACTGATAGAATGCTTTGAACTCCCAGGGCGTGTAATTCTGACAGTGATGGATTGTCTTTAAGTTTTAATACAAAACGGAAAAATATGCGAAGAAAATCAGTACGGTTGCAGCATCAGCAGAGTGAAGACCCTTCTATAATCTCAGATTCCTTGGCGTGATGTGGCTTCAGTAAATTGAGTCAAGCCACCAGGTGGTGAAGGCAAATCACTCGTTGACCTGATGAGGCTCGTTCTCTCTATCTCCCTCTCTCCCCCGCTTCCTCCAAGAAACAATGTCACCACTAGTATTACTATGTTCCAAATAAATCATGAAATCTAAAGAAAATTGTCCATCGTTCATTCAGTCTGTGATGCAGCGTTGGGGCTTGAGGAATTGCCGATAGAAGGCAAAGACGATTCGCAAAACAACATTTAGTTATATAGATAATTTATGACTCCTAACGGTTCAAGCTAGAAAATATATCACATTGGAATGTAAATATTAAAGTTTATGTTGGATTTTAAATCAACACAAAAAATTATCACTTATTTTATTTCTGTTTTTTATGTTCCTTCATGACGTGAGTAATAATGGATCTCTACAACTTTCTATCCTTTGTAACTCTTAATAATGTTTGTCTTTTTAATATCCCTCTCACTGCCTGATTTACTCTCCAATTACACAAGCTCGTTAGGTAAGTTAGGTTTCCCTCTTCTCCTCTTGCCTTCAATATGTGTTAGATTCTCCAAGCCTTCTTTTCTCATTATGTGTTATAAAATTTTAAACCGTCTCATTCTGATTCTAAGTATTAATATCCTTTATGTTACCATTTTCCTTAAAACTTCCTTGTTGCTCACATATTTCGTCCATGGTATTCTCAGCATCCTTCTGTAAAACATCATCTGTGTCGCCTCATGTCTCCTTTTCATCTGAGATGAAATTGTTCAGCATCCAGTGCCACATAGTGCCGCGAGTTCAGCATTATTTTTACTTGATTTTTATTCTTTGACATGATTGTTTTTAATTGTAGTTTGTCTAATCAGCAAAACAAAGGATGTTTTCCATATTGCCAGTATTAGTATATCTCACTAAATACGATTTCTATTCCTCGTAGACTGCTCTATCCCAAATATGGCGTAGGTAACAGATATAAAAACAGTTGAACATTCATCATTTACTGTTATTAATACAGATAATTAGTCACCATCTCTACACATATACACAACTAAAACAGAATAGTAGACTTGCCTGTTTCTTGTCTCTAAAGGGGCCATTCGTACTTATATTGCGAAAATATCAAAGATATTTCGGGACGCCTGCCGCAGGGCAATATGGCATACTGAATATACTTCAGCTCATAATTTCTGTAACTTCAGTTATTGCCGGGTATGTCATTGTTGTGGCCTTGTGACTGACTAGGCTTAGTAAAAAAATCACTTTGACTAGGCAGCGTTCTCTAAAGAATTTGCAGAACTAGCTCGTTAACCACTATTCTTCTACTATTGTTCTCATGAGACTATACTCAGTCAGTTATGTGCCATGCGTGATACACGCTTAGGCGATCATGTATCTTTCGATAGATGACTGACGAGGCATATTTTTTCCCGCAGAAGGTTGTCATTTCTTTCTGCGGTAGACCAGTTCCCATCCAAGGCTATAGAACCCGGTCTGTCCTGCTATTTACTCATAACTGTGAGGGGGAGATGAGGATTCATACCATTCCCAAGGGTATTAGCACGTAAGTGAATGTAAAGGATTCGACTGAAATTTGAACTCGGCTCTCTGATTCCTCAATACAAGACATTATCCATTACTACACAGTCTAATCCACTGCTCCTTTTGAATTGCCATGGCTATTCGGGCTATACGTGATCTTGGCTCTGCACAGCTTCCTATTTCTGTAATCTATGAATTGTTATGATTGATCATGAGGAGTGTAGTGAAGTAATTTCCCATTGTCTTCTTCAGTTTTTTTTTTTAATTCAATGTAAACCTTCTACTAGACTAGTCTCCAACCAATACTAAAGTTCAGTTTACACATAGAAGAAGAAGAGATAGATTCGGGCTCTTAAAAGGGAATTAGTACGATATTAACGCAATCTATCTCAACTGGAATTTGAACCCGGTTGCTCAATTCCATTTCCTGTAGTGTTAACCATTAATCCATCCATACTTTCCCAACTAATCTGACACTTGACGAAAAACTACAGTCGACTGTTTGCTGTATATAAAAAAAAAAAAAATTAAGAAAATATTCATATGAACGGTTGTATTCTCAGCGAGGCTCCTTGCATGGGTCATTTATTGGAACCGAAGTTCACTTTAGATCCCAAGTAGAACTCGTATATATAATACAAATCACTAAAATTAGTCAGTTCCATGTGCCGCTCCAGAAAGTACCTGACTCCTTTCATGCTTTATCTTTACAAGAGATCAGACCAGAAATGGAGTACTGCTGCCACATCTAGGTTGGAGTTGCCTAATCCTCGCCTCCCAGCTTCGACAGAGTTCAAAAGAGGCCTTTGCGCGGTCTTGTGGGTCATGAATTGATTTCCACTATGCAACCACTTCTCTACAGTCAGAACGTTGCTAGTCTCATGCTATTTTTTTTTTTTTTTTTGCAAATGTTTGGGGAGAATTACATTCCTTGGATCCACCATCTCAGGTCTTCACAGTTCGATCCCATCATGCCAGGTACACCGATCGACTCATCGCCATTCCTTTCATATTGCATTGGTCAGGAGTAGATTCCTTCAGAAAGATTTTTCCCTAGAACAGTTGCATTGTGGAACGAACTGCCGAGAGGGCACTTCTTCTGATCCATTCTTAATCTCTTCTTGTATCAACCATTATCTATCCTAAATATCCTCATCTAGCTCCCTCCCTGTAGACCTTTACAAAAGTCTCATTTGGTAACAATCTACCAAAGTGGATGTTAATCCTTATATTGGGTGAACAATAGTAAAAGAAATTGCATCATAGTTTATTTTATTACTACCTCTGTACGCCCAGTGTCTTCCTTTGGTAATCTTGCGACTACCATTTTCCTTGCTGTGTGCCCACAATGCAGAATAAGAAAGTTCTTGTTTATATATATAATCAAACAGATGTATAAAGCAAGAACTTTGAAATTTCTCTTTCTTCCCCCCCCCCCTCTCTCTCTCTTTCTCTCTCGCAGATGTTTGGGATTTGCAGACTCATATATGCCACGTCTTACTTATGCGTTGACGGTACTAGCACACTTGAAAAGAAAGACGGAGCTAAAAAAAAAGTAAGGTTGGGGTAATCGTTAGTTGAGTGCTGATGGGGAAAAAGGCGTTAGAAGGAGGGAGTGTTCTGCAGGCAGAGATGACTCAGTGCCGACTTGTCAATACAAGCCGTATGCTTCGTAAAACTGGCCTTTGTTCATATGAGTAAGGTCGTTGTTACACTTCTCAACGATTTGTGATATAACAGTGGATATATATCAACACAATTATTATGCTTATGACACACATAGTGCTTTCAGACGAATCTTACTGGTTGTGAGTCAGTTGTGGCTCGTTATCAAAAACTTTCACATTCGAAGAATAAAAAAACTACACGCAGAAAAACTGTGTGGGAAATCTAGTAACAAATCCAGTAGAATAATTCCCCATTTAACGACCGTGTTCCATTCCCAAAACATGGTCGTTAAACGAGGCAATTAAGTGAGAGGGTTTTCCGCTATTTTAGGCATACAACGCGTATAATGTGTTTGTCAACCAGCTTCAAATAGCTTTAATATCACTTTTACACCATTTCTGATTTATTGCTAAATGTTTATATACTAGTGTACGCAAAAGCAAACCTAATAAATAAATTCGAAAATCATGTCTATATTCTGTACATTAATCCAATTTGTATATGTTTAAATAAAAAAAATAAAAAAAAGG